GTGTGTCTTTGTGTTTGTGTGTTTGTGTGTCTTTGTGCTTGTGTGTTGGTGTGCTTGTGTGCTTGTGTGTCTTTGTGTGTTTGCGTGTGTTGTGTGTTTGTGTGATTGTGTGGTGTTGTGCTTGCGTGCTTGTGTGTTTGTGTGTTTGTGTGTTTGTGTGTTTGTTTGTTTGTGTGGTTGTGTGTTTGTGTATGTGTGTTTGTATGTTTGTGTGTTTGCGTGTTTGTGTGTGCGTGTGTGTGTGTGTGTTCGAATGGGTGAGTGAGTGTGTGAGTGTGTGTGTGTGTGAGTGAGTTGGTGAGTGGGTGAGTGTGTGTGAGTGATGATGTGTGTGAGTGATTGAATGAATGAGTGTGCGAATAAAAAAAGGGTGGGTTCTCTTGTTCCTGCTCGGGGTGTCTAGAGAAAACAGGACCCTCACTGGATGCGGGGAACAATGTTCTCAAGACAACCCTTGCCAGAAATGTGCTAACATCTCGCGCAGACCACAAAAGGTTCTTAGAAAATTCTTTGGTGGACCTATAGGCAGGCCAGGACGCTTCGCCACTGCTCGAATCTTGTCTTACCAGAGCTTGTGTCGTCCTGTCTAGTCTTCTATCCCATCGTCCTGCCTGTTCTTGCCTTGTCTGATCGTCTTGGGCAGTCTTGGGGGACGTCCTGGACCCAGAGCACAGTCTCAGGACCGCGGGCGACTGGGAAGGATGCACCCGCCTTCTCTGGGGAAGGACACGCCGCAACACCTCCCACTCGCCTGGCCAGGGGAAGCGGATGGCCGCGGCTGCCTCCGGCCAGCCGCGAGGAGCCCGAGATGCAGGCGATGAGCACGCTGACCAGGAGTGCGCCGGCGAGCACCACACCAGGGGATGGTGATAACCGACCAACGCGCATGTCAGTCGACCCGCGCTCGGAGTAGCAAATCGTTCATGTTGCGCTCCATTCGCGCTCTCGTATCGGTGCCATCTATATGTCTTGCCTTTCGAGTCTGACCCGCAGCACACCGCGCCATCGCAAGGTCGAAGGCGGGCGCTCAGATAATAGAAAGGCCTCAAAGCAGCGCAGTTGCAGCCGATGTGGAGTAGAATTCTACGTCGGGCTGGATGCCAGTTAGGCGGGGGTGATGCTTTGCTCGTCCGAAAGGAACCACTCGGTATCGTGCGTGCCCGTCCCTAGCCCCGTCTCGGGACCGATGTTGAATGTGATCAGCTCGATCACTGCGCAGCCCGCTGGGGCAGCCGATAGGCCAGCCGGCGTACTGCTCCCTGAGCCACTGGTCTGGTCGCCGCCCTGCTGAGCATACCACTCCGCCTGAAATACCGTCCCTGCGTCCTGGCCATCGCTCGGACGTCCATTCCCTGTGTGTTTTTCGGTTTCGTGCGTGGTTGTTTCGCCAAATGATCAAGGATGCTCCTCGATGGTCCTCGCCGAAGAAAAAATGCACACGTACGAGCGATGCCAAGCGTCTGGCATGACAGCTGCCGTGGATCCCGCAGCGCCCGCCAGGCGGGAGCGGGGGCTCGCCAGAGGCGCGCGAGCACCGTGCGCCGCTGGCTATCGGCAGCCGCAGGTGCCCATGGCCCGCGGGCGCCCCCCGCCCCACTGCCAACTGCGGCAGAAGGAGAGGCAGGCAGACGCTGTGGCCTTGAGCCAGAGCACGAAACGAAAGACACTGTGCCTGAACACCTGTAAACGCCAAACCTAAGGTACGAAAGCTGGGGTGCAGCAGCAGGAAGCCACATGCGGTCTGCATCGTTTGGCTCAGAGCCGCACCTGGTAGTGGAAAACAAGCCAAGACGATATCCTGGTCGCGCATGAAAGCTACGCGTGGCCCAAACCCATACAGTCCGACCGACGTACAAGATCGAGGTCGGCTCGGGGAGGAAACCTTAGAATTCGTCGTGTGTGTTGGATGTTCTTGCGCACCCTGGGGAGGGTGCCCTTGGCTGCTCTGTGCGTCTTGGCCGGCTCAGGGTCTCATGCTCTTGAAGGGTGTGATTCTGCCCTCGGGCTTTAAGCCCGCGCAATGGGAAGGGATGGGTGGGTGGGGCAACATATCAGATACGGCGCGAGCGCACCCAGCTTTGCTTGCCGTCTCTCTCTCTCTCTCTCTCCAGCGGCGAGCGAGGGGTGAAGTGAGAAGGAGAAGGCCTGATCAGAAGGCGAAGGAGAAGCTTTCTGCGTCTTCGGGAAAGGCTCAAGTAACTGCTCAGAAGGCCAGGGGACTTCCGGGCCTTCTGAGAAGGCCCGCCCTAACCAGCCTCGAACGTATCCCTATCCCTAAGATGGGCGAGCAAAAAGCGAGGACAATCTTAGGGACAGGACCTCAAAAGCTGAGGGAACCCTTAAGATCGGCATTGAGGTGAGGTGATGTCGAACATGGGGATAGGGATATGTTCCAGGCTGGTAACGCCCCCTGTCGCTTCCCCCCCTCGCTCGCCGCCGATCTCTCTCCCCCTCTCTCTCTCACCCCTCTCGCGAGCGGCCGCGGCGGCTGGCCCGCATACGCACGGCAGCCCGAGAGCGGCGAGAGGCGGTGGCTGCCCGCCCCTCCCCGCACCACCCGCCGCCGCAGCCTCCTCATTGAAGGGGCCCCAGGACACACACACACATATAAATACACACAAATAAAAAGATTCCCCATATTTTCCCATATTTTCTGGGTTTTCGTCTTCCCCCCACTTCCCATATGTTCCCATATTTTTCGGGGAAGTCGAGGATTAATTGTGTCTGTGTGTTTTTTCCCCTCCTGATCTCTGGCCATCGCCCGGACGTCCATTCGCTGTGTTTTGTTCGGTGTCGTGCGTGGCTTCTTCGCCACATGCTCAAAGATGCTCCTCGACGGTCCCCGCCGACGAAAAAGTGCACACGTCCGAGCGATGCCAAGGTCTGGGCCACTCCCCCGTGGCCCGCCGATGCTCGCCCCGAGCCGTCCTGTTGACGCTCCTGGGGCGCGGCGAGAACCCCTGGAGGAGGAGGAGGAGGATGAGGAGGAGGAGGAGGAGGATGGGAGGAGGATGGGAGGAGGATGGGAGGAGGAGGAGGAGGAGGAGGAGGAGGAGGAGGAGGAGGAGGAGGAGGATGGGAGGAGGAGGACGGCCAGAAGCCTCCCGCCCGCCGTGCCCCTTCTGGGCTCCACGAGGCGGGGAGGCGGGCTCGGACCGGGCGGATGGGGGGGCAGCAACCCTGACCTTCCAGGAGGGCCAACAAATAGCACGCGACGTAGAAACCTATCCCAAGGCTAGTCTACGTCTTGGTTCTAGGCTGCTGCGTTCAGTTTTGTTTTAAGTTTTTAGGCCTCCCGTGCTAAAACATAGCTCTCTGGAAGGTCAGGGAAAGGGGGGGCTGAGACTCAGCTCACGTGGCTGATTCTCCTGGCCCCTCCCGGCGCCGGAGGCGGCCATGCATCGAGGAATATGGTGGGCCCCTCGGTGGGGCCGAAGCCAGCCGCGCGCGGCAGATTTCGTACCCCCCCCCTTCCAGATCTTCCCCTTTCGTCCAGCCGATGGGCGCAGTCCGTGGGGCCCGCTCCCCGCTCCGTGGGGCCCCCCTCCTCCTCCTCCTCCTCCCTACTCCTCCTCCTCTCCTCCTCCTCCTCCTCCTCCTCCTCCTCCTCCTCCTCCCTCCTCCTCCTCCTCCTCCTCCTCCGTGGCTCCCCCGTGGCCTCCCGGCTCGGACCCTCGCCGCTCGGCCCCGCGGCGCCGGCCGTCGCCCCCCCCCCCCCCCGCCGGCCAGTGGGCCCGGGCGACCCCGGCCGGCCACTTGCCGTGGCTCAGACGTCCATTCCCCGTGCGTTTTTCGGTTTCGTGCGTGGTTTTGTTCTAGGGCTCCCAACTTCGCGCTTCGCGCGCCGCGAAGCGCGAAGCGCGAATAACTTCGCGCTCTCGCGCCGCCCCCCCAAAGGGAGAAAAGGAGGACGAGGAGGAGGGGGAGAAGGAACGAGGACCGCGAAGCGCGAAGCGCGAAGAACTTCGCGCCCTCGTGGGAGCCCTTGTTTGTTGCTCGATGGCCCAGGATGGTCCTCGAGGGTCCTCGAGGGTCCTCGCCAGGATGGTCCTCGAGGGTCCTCGCCTCGCGATGCCAGGGCCATGGGCCCCCTTGCGACCCCCCGCGATCCTGGGCCGCCTTCGGACGGGCTTGGGACGTCTTCGGCGGTCCTCTGACGGTCTTCTGACGGTCTTCGGCGGTCTTCGGCGGTCTTCGGCGGTGTCCAGCGGTCGTCGGCGCGAAAGCTGGATGGCTGCGTTCGACGAGAGGTCCATGATCGAACACCTATGCAAAGCCCGATGACTTCACACTGTTTTCGCATAGTGCTTTCCTACCCGTTGTTGCATGAATTTCGCGTTCTCACTTTTTCGGACATCTGGCAATCCCAAAGAGCACGAGGGGGCCCCAAGGCATGCCACCCACGACGGCCCAAGGAGGCCCCCAAGAGCAAGAGGCATCCTCGCTTCCCTGTCGGCCCCCGCGAGAGAGGAAGGAAAAGGAAAAGGGCGAGGATCGGACCCGTGGGCGCACGAGGAGACTTCCCGCCCGTGTCTTCCGCCTCCTGCGCTTCGCACCCCAGTCCGTTCCCCACCGTGACTCCCCATCAGAGGTTCCCCCCGCGAGAAAGAAAGGGAGGGACAGGGCGAGGATCCGACTGGTGGGCGCAAGCGGACTTGCCCGACCCGCGTCTTACGCCCCCTGCGTTTTCACGTCGCGGCTGGGCACGAGCACGAGCACGAGCACGACCAAAACGTGAATGCATATCAGGGTACATGCGGGATAATGGCAAATGTATGGCACCAATCCCAGAGATCCGATGTCGTGATTTTTTCAAGACGGGGTCTCCGGAAGACTCGACCCATTCCCCAGGACCGGTTGTTCATCCTGAGTCGTTGTTTGACTGTCCCGAGGCCCGGCGAGGGCCCCTTGGGGCCGAAATCTGCGAAAAACCTCCGTCTTGATTTTTTCAATACTTTGGATCTCTGGGATCGAACCTCTGACGCGTGCGCCTCCCCGACTCAAGCCAGGCCCCTGCTCCAGGTCTCCTCGGCGGCTCCCTGGCGCTGGCCCGCGGGGTCTTCAGCTCCCCGCCGCCGTTGGCCTCCTCGGGGCCGGCAAGCGCCGCTGGGGCGCGACCGCGCGCGGCGGGTGCTTCGAGAAGGGGAGCGGAGGAGAGGCCTCATCCTGCTCCTCCTCCTCCTCCTCCTCCTTCCTCCTCCTCCTCCTCCGCCTCCTCCTACTCCTACTCCTACTCCTTCTCTCCTTCCCCCTCCTCCTCCAGATCTCCAACTCCTACTGCTCCTGCTCATCATCAGCATCACCATCATCACCATCATCATCAGCATCATCATCAGCATCATCAGCCTCATCCTCATCCTCGTCTTCATCCTTATCCTCAAACTCATCCACATCCCCCTGCTCCTCCTCTTCCTCCTCCTCCTCCTTCTCCTCCTCCTCCTCCTCCTCCTCCTCATTATCAGCATCAGCCGGCCTCCTTGCCCGCTGCGGGCCGCAAGACCGCGGCGGGTGCTTCGAGAAGGGGAGCGGAGGAGAGGCCTCATCCTGCTCCTCCTCCTCCTCCTTCCTCCTCCCCCTCCTCCTCCTCCTCCGCCTCCTCCTACTCCTACTCTTACTCCTCTCCTTCCCCCTCCTCCTCCAGATCTCCTCCTCCTACTGCTCCTCCTCATCATCAGCAGCACCATCATCACCATCATCATCACAATCACCAGCATCATCAGCCTCATCCTCATCCTCGTCTTCATCCTAATTATCAAACTCATCCACATCCTCCTGCTCCTCCTCTTCCTCCTCCTCCTCCCTCCTCCTCCTCCTCTCTCATCATCATCATCATCATCATCATCATCATCATCATCATCATCATCATCATCATCATCATCATCATCATCATCATCATCATCATCATCATCATCATCATCATCATCATCATCATCATCATCATCATCATCATCCTCATCCTCATCCTCATCCTCATCCTCATCCTCATCCTGATCCTCCTCCTGATACTCCTCCTTACCAGCATCACCATACGTAATCGTCATGAGCATCATCGGCATCAGCATCAGCACTAGCATCATCAGCATCATCAGCATCAGCATCATCATCCTTAAAACCATCCCCGACCTAATCCTCCTCCTTCCCCCTCTTCCTCGTCATCATAATCATCATCATTACCATCATCATCAGCATCATCAGCATCATCATCATCATCATCATCCTTCATCCACCTATCCACCACCTCCTCCTACTACTCCTACTCTCCTTCCCCCTCCTCCTCCCGATCTCCTCTTCCTCGTCCTCCTCCTCATCATCATCACCATCATCATCATCACCATCATCAGCAGCATCATCAACATCATCAGCCTCATCCTCATCCTCGTCCTCATCCTCATCTTCAAACTCATCCACATCCTCCTGCACCTCCTCCTCATCATCATCCTCATCCTCATCCTAATCCGGATCCTCCTCCTACTCCTCCTCCTCATCGTCATACGTAGTCGTCATGAGCATAATCACCAGCATCATCATCAGCATCATCAGCATCATCATCACCATCAGCATCATCGGCATCATCTCATCGTCATCAACATCACCATCGTCATCATCATCGTCATCAGCATCATCATCGTCATCAGCATCACCACCATCATCATCATCAGCATCAGCAGCATCCTCATGATCAGCCTTACCATCATCCTCATCCCCATCTCCCTCCTCCCATATCTTCCTTATCATCCTAATCCTCATCCGTATCATCATCAGCAGCATCATCATCGTCATCAGCATCATCAGCATCATCAGCATCATCAGCATCATCACCATCACCATCACCATCACCATCACCATCATCATCATCAGCATCATCAGCATCATCATAATCAGCATCAGCATCAGCATCAGCATCAGCATCAGCATCAGCATCAGCATCATCATCATCATCAGCATCATCATCATCATCACCATCATCATCATCATCATCATCATCATCATCATCATCATCAGAATCCTCATCCTCCTCCTTCCAGACTCCGATTCCCCATCTTCTCCTCCTCTTTCTCATTATCCTCCTCCTCCTCTTACTCCTCCTCCTCCTCCCCCATCTTCCTCCCCCTCCTCCTTATCCTCCTCCGCCTCTTCCACCTCCAAGTCCTCCTCCTCCTCCGCCTCCTCCTCATCCTCCTCCTCCCCCTCCAAAGCAACGTTTGCTCGAGCATTTTGCGCGAGCAGCTCGCCTGTGCCTCCACGGGGTGCTTGGGGGGCCACGCCCAGAGAGTTCAGTCCAGAGGGGCTCTTGCTGGCGTTGACGAACGCGCGTACTCTCCGCGCAAGGCGTGCCACAAGTCTGGGTGGAACGATCGCTTGCTCAATGATAATGCCTGCTGCTTTCACTGCAATTCCTCCTCCTCCCCTTCCTCCTTCTCCTCCTCCTCCTCCTCCTCCGCCTCCTCCTCCGCCACGTCTTCATTTACCTCCGACGTCTTATCACGCATCCCGTCACCCCCGAGGGCCGAGGTATCCAGGGTCGGCGGCACTGGCCGTAAGGCCATAGCAATGATTCCTGCTGCTTTCACTGCAATCGCAAGGTCAAACTCTTTGTCATGTGCCGAAGTCTCAGAAGGGCGGCAAGGGCTCCAGGCGCATAGCCCCGAGACCATCGCCCCGAGCGTGGCGCGATACAGACCACAAACATTCGCAAGCAGTCGCAGCGGTGGTGAGGTTGCAAGATAACCTGTCCATCGCCATGGGGAAGGAGGTCCAGGCTGCGCAGGTTCTGGCGCAGGCCGTGGAGGCGAAGAGGGCGGCCTTCGAGGCGTTGGCGCGTGCCGAGGGCCTCACGGCCGCTCCTGCCGCAGCTGGTGCCAGGCGGGGAATCGCCAATCAGCTGAAGTACAAAGTCACGCGGAACGCGGCGCCGTTCCAGGGGCTCGGCGAGCTGGAGCGCGAGGAGACGGAGAGCCAGGAGCCGCGACTCGTGCACACCCAGCGGCGGGGGTCGCAGAACGCGCTGAGCACCAAGGAGGCGGACATCCAAGCGATGCCGGAGAAGGCCGCCGCGGTGCGCAAGGAGGTCGATGACCGCCTCGCGAAGAAGAGGAAGAAGACGGCAGAGGGCCAGGCGGCCCCAGGAGGAGGCCGCGACGCGGGCGCTGCAGCTGGCGGCGCGGCGCCTGGAGCCGCGCCGTCGGCCGAGGCGGGAGCTGCCGCCGCCGCATCCGCCGCCGCATGCCGCGGCCGAGCGGCGCGAGCAGGAGCAGATCCAGCTGCGCAGAGGCGGCCGAGCTGTCGCTGGGGAAGCCTGCGGCCAAGCGCGCGGCGCTGGAGGAGCAGGAGTTGAGCAGGGACCGACCGTCCCGGCATTCCTATAGCCCTACCACGACATGTTCTTGGAACCCGAGCGAGAACAATGTCCTTAGAACATAAACCCGATGTGTCAAAACAAGAGTGTCCCAACCGGAAATATGTTCTACGAACATTTCGCTGGAACCACAAAAGGTTCTCAGAACATTGCTTCGTGGGGCTATATAGGCGAGCCAGGACGCTTCGCCGCTGCTTGAAGTAGGGCGACGAGATCTATACATATCCACTGCTCCTGGCCAGGCCCATCCTGGGCCCAGGAGCTGTGTATATGCCTCCCTGGCCAGGCCAGGAGGGCGTATACACCGCTCCTGGGCCCAGGATTGGCCTGGCCAGGAGCAGTGGATATGCATAGATCTCGTCGCCCTAAGGAGGCGGCCCTCGGCGGGCCGACGGGCAGGGGCAGCGGCAGCGGCAAGCGCGAGGGCAGGGGGCAGCGCAGCCCCCGGCCTCCACGCGGAGCCGCCGGGCCCGCCACGGGCGAGGCCGACGGCCTGCAGCGGGGCCCCGCGCGGGCCGAGGGGGGCCACGAGCCATGGGGCCCCACCGCCTGGGCAGCCTCGGGCGGGGAAGACGCCGAGCGCGTTCGTCTTTTCGACCGCGACGGCGGTGTGCACCGAGTGCTGGGGCCGCCCGCAGAAGTCCAGCTGCGATGTCACTGGGGCGCGGGAGACTCCCGCTGTCGGGTCTCAATTCCAATCGCGGGGCGGGAACGCCAGAGGGGCTGGCTGTCATTTGCTTGCCAACCATGCGAGAGCAGAGAAGGAGCGCGTCAGCGCTGCCATGATCCATCCGTCCTGCGGAGGAGGTGAGTGGTTCTTGGCACGGCAGCACTTACAAGTGCAGAACGCGTTCACCAAGTCCACGGCTATGAAGCTGAGCGAGCGAGCGAGCGTCCATCCAGCCACACTGGTCGTAGGGCCGCGCCCGTTTGGGCGGGGCGAGTCGGGCCGTAGCCTCGATCAGGAAGATGTGAAACCATGCGCACGTGCTCTCACTTCGCATTCACTTATTGGATCCCCATGCTCTGCCATGCTGCACTTTGCTTCGCAATGCTGAGCCAAGCGGTATCGTTAATATTTCGCCATGTCCTCTTAGTTGATGACCCAGAATGGTGTCGTCACACACATGCTCGCCCAGAAACGTCCAAATTTCGTCATCCCACCGTTTATGTTGACCACCGCGGTTGCGATTAACTGTTTTCTGTGCCGTGTGGCCGGGGTGCCTCTGCACCGCTCTTTGCGTCCATCTTGCGACGGGGTGTACTGCCACTTGCGCCGCGAGCCTCCAGTGTAAACGGCGTTGCTCTGTCACCCCATCCTTGACGCTGTGCAACCGCATGAGGTATTCAGCACGATGTGTCGACCGTCGAATGAAATCGACCCAATGCTCCTCTCTGTCCGCGTCGGTGTCGCTGTCAACGTCCTTGCTGGTGAGGGTCCAGGTGGTGGTGGATTGCTGTCGATGTCAGAGTCGTCGGTTGTGCTCGATTGATGTGCAGCGGCCGTGCTTAGATCCGATTGTAAGTGAATCGTCGTCGGAGCTTCGACAAAAGAGGCGCCAGCGCCAGAAATACGTCGATCTCGTCGTAACCGCCTCCGTGGTGCGTTCACAATCATGCGAAGCATTCTCTTTTCAGTCTTGCGGAGCTGTTGCTTAAGAGGCTCTGTCAATGTCCACGTAGCTGAACCATACAGCACCGTGGGGGTGACTGTGCCTTTGGAACTTGAC